AGACATATGAAATCAGGGGTAATGCAAATAAATGGATATATTCTTATATTACACACAGAACACATCGTGTAATCATTGCAGACGGAAATGATGCCAAAAAATCAAAAATTTTAACAAGTGCTGTGGGAGTTGCCCAAGGCAGTGTACTGGATCCAATACTGTTCGTTATTTACTTGAATGACTTAGGCAAAATAAAGAGGGAAGTATGGTAAATTTTGCTGGTGACACCAGCCTATTGACTGGGGCTACAACTGCACAAGATGTAGAACATAAAGCAAATGCAATAGATAGAAAGAAAGAATTTGCTTTATTGTCAGAAAATTTTACAATTTTGTGGACAAAGCTGAAAAAATAAAAAACAAAACATACAAATGCAAAAGCACAGACAAAACCAAACACTTGAACAAATGTTCATGGTCAAAATTTGATTAAAACTAATAAACAAACATCTAGGTCTAACTGCTTATACTGTGCGAGTAAGCATATTATAGGTACTAAAAAAACAAACAAACAATAACTTATAATAACCTATCATGATACAGGAACAAAAACAAAACCTGTGAGTAAGCTGCTCAAAATTTAGAATTAGGAAACCATAAACAACTCGCTTACTGTGTACAAGGCTCTCCCCAGTAAATACACCTTCAACGCCCTGCGAAATTCGAGAAAAGATGCAATGGACCTGATGTTAGGCGGTAGATGATTATGCATCTTTTTAGCATTATAAAGTATTGAACTGAGCAGCTAACTCTGAGCGCGGGATTGGCAGATAAAGATCCAACTCTGCGTTCCTCAGTGGATAATTGTGAGATGGCCTCTCTGAGATAGCTGATATTAAGTGCTTACGAATTAAGCAGACGGATTCGAAAATAAATAAAGATGGAAGAGTCAATATACTAGACTTGATAAAAAATTCCCGGCAGTGAGTTCTACTACCAAGTCCCAAAGAATAACGAAGAGCTCTCTTCTGCAGTCTAAAAATGCGTTCAAATTGAGACGCACAACACGTGCCCCAGAATGGAAGGGCGTAACGTAAATGCGACTCAAAAAGAGCATAATATACCATCCTGTAAGTTGCCGAGTTAAGCTCCCTGGAAACAGATCTCAGTGCGAAACAGGCCGAACTTAATTTCTTTGCTAAGGCGTCGATATGCAGGTCCCACTTTAGAGATTTATCAACAACATGCCCCAGGAATTTCACGGAATCAACGGCCTCCATGGTATTGTTATCCAGTACTACAGATTGGAGCGAAGCTCTGTAAGATAAAACTTTGGTTTTAGAGAGGTTGAGGCACAGGAGATTTGAGTGACACCATGATTTGATGGTGATTAAGTCACTAGATACGGTTCTATGGAGTTCCGTAATATCCGGGTTGCTCCAAGTGAAACTAGTATCGTCTGCGAAGAGACAAACTTTGCCGCTAATATCCAGACTAGCAATGTCGTTAATAAATAGCAGGAACAAAATAGGCCCAAGAACTGAACCCTGAGGCACACCACATTCAATTGGTTTACAAGAGGACATGGTCGAGTCCACCCTCACAAGCTGACTTCTGTTACCAAGATAAGACTTAAACCATTCGAGACTATTCGAGAGCCATTCCTCTGAAACCGTAGAACTGTAATTTGTTAATTAAGATATTATGATTAACACAGTCGAAAGCTTTGGAGAAATCACAGAAAATTGAGGCTGTAGAGTGGTGGCAGTTCAGGCTGGAGTATACATTATTGAAAAGGGAAAACATTGCATCATTAGTACATTTGTTACTTAGGAAACCGAATTGACTGGTAGTTAGAATATTATCTAAAACAAAATCCTGGTTCAATGAAAATAAATTAATTCCTAATGGAAAAAAAACTAAAACACACTAACAAAAAGAAAAAATTAGTTCATTGAACCTCCAATCAGATAGTTTCGGAATATCAAACTCCGCAAAGTTATTAGGAGTACATATAGACAAATTTTTGAACTACTACAGACATACAGAAATACTCTCAAAAAAATTGAACAAAATATGTTTTGTCATCAAAACTGCGTCACGATATTCAAATAACCAGACTCTAAGGACATTAATTATACTTTGCGAATTTTGATTTAGTATATTCAAATATGGAATAATTTTTTGGGAACATAACCAAAATCTAGAAAAAATATTTCTGTAAGAAAAGAGTAGGTATTTAGGTAAATTAATAAATTACATTTTAGGGAATCTTGTAGGGATAAGTTTAAAGAAAAAAATATCCTCACTGTATGCTGTTTAGTTGTATGAATGTTTAATGTATCTTTATAAAAATAGGTCACAATTTATCACAAACAATTGCAATATATGTAACACTCCGACACAAGATTTAGTGTTTCTAATCCATAGGCTGACAGTAACAGAAAAAAATCCATCATACATGTGCATAAGAATATTCTACAAACTACCAAATAGTTTTGAAACAGTAGATAGTCTAAATAATTGCAAAAGGAAGGTGAAAAAACTGTTAATAGACCTAGAACCATACATTCTAAATGATTACTTTAGCGCAACATTATAAATCAAAACATTTCCCTTCGACACTGTTTTACTTAATTTATGGTTTGTAGCTAAGGTCTGTACTCAAAACTGTTTATACTCCATATTATTTGAAATAAAGGGATTTAAATTTTTGAATTTTGAGCTATCCCAAGATTTCAAGACATGTGCCGACAATATGCGAGATGCGCAGCAAGTCAAGATCCTGAAACGCGATCTAAGGGACAAAGAAAAAAAAAGTTTAGGTATATAAGATTGTTTCATTTTGGTACTTATGGCGAACAAATGGAGAGAGGAAAATATAATCGCAGGACTGCACTTTTACATACATATTTGTTCTCTAGTGCCAGTTACACACAAAATGGGACCGACCAAGAAGGCTTATTACAGCCAGTGCTATGTCCCAGATGATTCAGCTATTGGCAGGACCGCTCCAAAAATCGTTTATGAACCCTTCGCTCACGATTTTTTGGCTCACGTCATATGTTAGAATACATGGACTATACAGAGGACACGCCATGAGGAACGAACTTAACCTTGTTAATGATTGGTTTATCAAATGCTGTAAAGCTCCTTCTCTCTGAGTGAATTGAATTCAACGCTGAGCTGATCCCATGATGGAATAGAATACCATCACTTACAACACTCTTCAAATGGAAGAAGCAAAACCAAGGCATTTATGAGTGACTGCTGGAAAGGAGACTCGAGACAAAGCTGACACTTATTCGCCTACTCCTAACCTTCATATTATCTGAGGAGCTACTCGGCTCCATCGCACACCAAAAGGTCAGCAGTCATGGAAACTTTGCGAAGGTAGGCGTTATTTAAATCACAGGCACTTTGAAGGGTTGACTTTCTGAAGAAGCAGGCACATAATACCATTCGGCTCGCTAGCGTAGCCAACAAGAGACAAGAGGGCTTGTGGCCATGCATTTCCTGGTAGATATTTAGTAGTTGTGGATGTAGTACCTACCTTTATCTAACCGATTTTTGTTGTTATTTGAAATGACGTATCGCACATGATTCGATGAATTTTGGTCTAATATTGTTATGATCCTATAGCCAGATCAAAAGTTACCACTGGCACAAATTAGGAGAGAATTTGAATGCTTCTAGAATTTTGAGAAACTTTACAGATTCTTCTAAAATTCGCCTTTATAACAGACTTTTGTATGTAGTTTGATTAATAAGAACAAAATCAGTAAATATTGGTATCCATCAATCGTACTTCAAAATACGTCTGAATATAAAAATCTATTGATGATAAAAAAAGTTCAGAAAATACAGGGTGTCCTTAGATAAACTGACACATTTTGCAGGTAAATATCTCGAAAACTCTCAAAGATAATGAGATGCGGTTTGTTCTGGGAGCATAAAGATTTTTCAAAGTTTTTTTTCACATTATTGCCGAATTCTGAAATTTGCTGAAATTTGGTTTTACAGACATGCGATTTTTTGAAATAAAATGACTGTCTTATTTTCAATGAAACACCATGTATCTTTTGTCATCGTCAGAAAGCCTAATTTTTCTACTTTTTATGTATGTATAATTTTTTTCAATTATCTTGAATCTGCATCGTGAAAATTGCACTTTGTCGAAGGGAATATTATCGACTAACCAAAAAAAAATTGAGAATTAATTTGTGTTTAATACTTTTATTCACTAATTAGCGCATAGTTAACTAATAATACAAGTATTAAACACAAATAAGTGCATATAAAACACAAATTAATAATTATCATTTTTTTTTTGGCCAGTCGACGTTACGCTCTTCAACCAAGTGCAATTTTTACGATTAAATTTCATGATAATTGAAAAAAATTATACATTTTTGTGAAGTAGAAAAGTCACCCATTCCTGAGAATGACAAAATATGCTGGGTGTTTCGTTAAGAATAAGGCAGTATGTAATTATTTCAAAAAATCGAATGTCTGTAAAACCAAATTTCAGGATTCGTCAATGCCATGAAAAAAAAATTAAAAAAATCCTCATTCTTCCAGAACAAACCGCATCCCGTTATCTTTTCTCGTTTTCGAGATATTCACCTCTAAAATGTGTCAGTTTATCTAAGGACACCCTGTATATTATGCTTCAGTGACCCCAGAAAGTGTATCAACCAACATTGCAAATATATATTTTCTTACAGGTCTTAGTTGACGGTTAGGTATAACGAGTCTTCAAAAAAAACAAACGAATCAGAGATGGCTATAATTTTTTAAACTATTCACTATTTTGCTTTTTTCTTTCTTTCTTTCTTTCTTTCTTTCATCAAAAACGGCACTTTCTCGAGCAAAAATCTTCTAACAAAAAAAAATTAATCATATAAATGGCAAAATATGTCACTGTGAGATTTATTCATGGAAGCTGACGCGACACAAGTTTTTGTAATCAAAACGCTTTTTGATTTCATTTTTTTTAAGGGTCTATATTTATTACGCAGGAAGAAAAGTAATCAGGAAACAAGGCTTGGATCTACCTACCGCGAACAACAAATTAAATCCAAACAGAAGATATTTAATAAGGCTCAATTCACACGTCCTCATTTTGGGAAATTCTAACATGAAAACTTTGCAATATTTTTAAAAAAGATTTAGTTTTACTTCGCGTGTTTTGCGGCTGAAACTCCGGGCACTTTGCTGACCACTGACCGAAGCCGACGGTGAAACCTGACGAATATTTTCTCTAGCAATCTCTGGTAAGAAATTAGTTTTGATAGGGAAAAACTGGAGTTTTTGCTAAAACTGGAGTTTTTGTTTTAATACCGATATCCATATGTTCCTTTTAGGATTTAGCATTTTCCCCGTTTCTTGAGGAATCAGGCTCTTCTTATTATGTTGCTTTGAGCGATTTGCAAGTTATTGGTCATAAAATCCATAAATCCCTATTTCTTTCGAATGATTTTTTCATAATTTACCCCTGGATCAGTAAAAAGTGTATCCCAAAACTCCTTCATTAAAGCTATTAACCCCTTTCTGCGAAAACACTCACTCATTCTATTGGTCGTGGGTGGGGTCTCAATGTTTGTTGATATAGGAAAAGTTGCCACAGAAACCACCTTGAGTGAAAGTGAATGGACTTTGAAATGCATTTCTCTTTCATTATTTTGCCGTTTATATAGGATGGGAAAGTATTAAATCACAAATTTTATTTTACTGCCTCCCAAAATTTAAAGTTGTGTACACAAAAACAAAAACCTACATTCCCACAAAATTTAGCCCTCTATAACACTTAACAAACTTGACGGTTCTCAAAAAAAATCCATAAAATTTTATACGATGTACCTATGTATATGTATATCGAATTTCAAATATGCCAAGATTCAACTACCTGGGAGATTGCCGTCATACTAGGTATTGCAGATATTGCAGATTCTCCTAATTCTAAGTATCCATAAAGTAGCTTCACTGCCGTCATTCTGTAGGGCATAGACCTAACTACTACGAAGTAGTTAGGTCTATGTGTAGGGTAAGCTCCCTAGCCGCCATCCATTCTAGTAGTAAGGTGCCTCTGTATCATTCTAGTGACGTTGCTGTTTAAGTTAGTGTTGTCCATTTTGAGTTACCTGCGTAGGGCACTTTCTAGATCCAGTCTGGTGTCCTTTTTCCTTACATTCTACATGCTGCTTATTCCTTGCATTCTCTAGCGTAGTGCCCGGCTTGTCCACATTTAACGCATAGACTCCTTCTGTCCGGCCCTTGGCATCGGGTGCTGTTATGTCCTGCTCTTTAGTATCGGAAACATTTTTGCTGCTTGGTCCTCTCCATTTTGGTCCACCCAATTTTTATGCTGGCCATTTCAACGAGCTTATCTGCTGCGGAAGATGATAGGATTACTGTCGCATTTTGTGTTCCTTGCCAGGCTTTCCTAACCGATGTAACACGGATTTCTTTTGTCGGAATAATTATCTCTCTAGCTTACTTCCTCGATTTCAGCCTTGTCTTTCATTCCGTCGAGGTTTCTAAGATGGAGGACTACAGTTATCATTCTCTGTGTGGCTTGTGCGCCTTTAAATTTGCTATTGATGGTTTCAGTTTATTAGTTTCCTCTTTTCCTTCTTCAGACGATATGAGTAGCTCTCCTTTTCTAGTGTCTCTCCCGCTGTGGAAGATGACTCCTATTTCCTGTCTCATTGACTTTAGGAGTTCCGCGTATGACATTCATTCCGCTCTGACAAAAGCGCGTCTTGCGTTATCCTGGGTTTTTGGTGCAAAGGGTTTTGCTTTATTGAGCATATGTGGAGGTCGATATTCGTGTTATAGAAAGCAAATTCGAGCAACTTTTGGAGCTTTGGGGTCTCAGTACCTATAATTTGGAGCACCAGTTTGTCCCCTGCGTTTTTCTACGGCTTTTTACACTTCAGCTTTTTTTGTTTTTTAATGTATCGAGTCCGCTAAATCGAGTAGCTACCTGTTTGTTCAGGCCGTGTGTCCATTTGTCCTCGCCTCCCTTGAAGAATCTTGTGAAGGGTAGGTGTCTTTTCCATAATGTGCTGACTAAGTTTTTAAAGACTTCCTTCCAACATGCAGTCTTATATGTTCCTTTAGCGCTCCTCGTATCCCATCGCTGGTTCAGTCTGAACCGATTTCGCTGTCACCTTCGCGTCTTCAGTTTGCGTTGTGGCCTCGCAGGCTTTTGTGGCTTTTTGAACATCAAATGGTCGTTTTGTGGCCTTGCCAGGCTAGTCGGCGCTTCCACGGCCCTCTTGATTTTGACCTTCGTATTGGTGTTTTGCTGTACTTAGGGTCTGGGTATCCCTGTTTTTTTTTTTGATGGTCTGATTAATGAGCTCAGTTAGCTCGTCTTTGCTCATTCTTAGGTGTGTGTGTCCCTACTCGTTTCCTCTTAGAGTCTTGTCCCGCTGAGGTCTCTTCTATGATGTCTATGTCCTCAGTGCTAAACGTTAGCGCTTCATTCAGCTGTCAGCATCCTCGTCCGCTTCCTGTCTCTTCCCTTCCAGGCTTGGCACTACCCCTGGGTCTGTTCCAATAGTAGACCCGACGCGCGACGCCCCGGTCTGGCTTCCTGCCAGCATCAGGGTGTCCCATTTGGACACTTTTAATAGGAGACGTCAATTTCTGAGTGAGATACAAAAAAATGAACTCTGAGGCTCGAGCTTCATGAAATATTGATTGGTGCAAACCACATTTTGATATCTTCAACCGTTCAGCCGCTAGAGGGCAATTCTCGATTTTGAGCAATACTGTGAAACATTCATAACTTTTTTGTTTATGAGATAAATTGATTTCCGTAAAAACTTTCTGGGATAACTTTTTTAAGCAGAGTTCAGCGACGTTCCCAGTTTTTCTCTACTTGGCCCTGATTTCGAGATATTGACCAAAGTCCGATTTTTTCAATAGGACACCCTATTGATAATCTTCTGAATACCCACGTTTTATGACGAACTCAGATATCAGGTAACTGATACCGTTGCTGGAAACAATTATATTCGAAGCATTTGCTTGTGGAGGAAAACAATGATTACATAAGCTGGATTTTTAGGACACAATAACGAATTGTATAAAAATATAATTATCAAGGGAAATGTTAACTGTAAGATAGCCAAATGCCTAGTTATAATTAAGATATAGGTAGGTTAAGATAGGAGTGATTACTGAATTATTTTATCATTAAATTAAAAGAGAATAGTTTAATTCATTTTACACCCTTGATAATTAGGTTAGAAATTAGGGAATTTTAATTTATTTACTTGATTAGGTTAGAAATTAGGGAACTTTTATTTTATTTACTCGATTAGGTTAAAACTTAGGAAATAAGAATAGAAAGCATAGGTAATTAGAAAAGGAAAAGGTGTTCAATTAAAAGGTAAAACATTAACATGTTCAATTGATAATTTGACCACATGTAACTAGCGAACTCTGTTGGAGAGCCATCAAACTGGATCACAGGGTGGAACAGTTTGAACAGGAAAGGTTGAATAAACTTGAGAACCAATGGGAAAACAACAAAAAACCGGAGGGTACTTTTATTGAATCGCTGAAAGCTAGGAGAGTTTGAGATCTTCGACTTTGTCGATTTTTGCAAGCCCGGTACTAAGGGGGAGCCAATAGGCTTCTAAAGTGGTACCCAACGGGTGGTTCTTTTCGCTTATCCAAGCAGATGTTGAGGCCAGTTAACTTCAGTTATCGCCAATTCGCTACTAGTCTTTAATACAAGTTATCGCCGGAAATTTAATTCGCAAAATCTCAACGAGTTCTCGATCCGTTTCTCATCCTCTAGTTCATCTGCCGCCCGGTGTTTTAGTAAAAGCTCTCCAAAGAGGTGATAGTTTATTTTTAATTTCAATTCCATTAAAGTTTCAGATTTGGAACCAAATCTTTTAATTGGGAAAATACGTTCATTTCTCTCATTTCTCTTTAGTTTAATTTGTTTATGGTCCATAAATTAAATAAGGTAATTTATAGTTTTTTATATTTTACCTTACCTTTTTTATCTTTAAATAATAACGTGTGTAACGATAACTTTTCTTTTTACTCATAAATAAATTAATTTTTAATCTTTTAAAATGAGTCTTTCCTTTTCTGGTTTCAAAATTCCCCTTAAAACACTGGTAGTGGCAGAGAAAGATCTTACGTGTCGGTTTGTGCGGTTAAAGAAGGTGTTTGCAGCTTCAGCAGAAAAGTGGTAAGTGGTACTAACTTTGAGTCTCTAATAACACCTTTCAATAACCACTCCAAGAAGAGAAGGAAGAAGATTTCGTTAAGATTGCCTCCGGTTCAGAACACTGTTATTGACTGCTTCAGATCAAATTTACTTTTCAGCATAATTTACCACGAAATTTTAAGATGAGACAGAATTATTCACGCTACCAAAATATCAATTCTTACATAACATCTCAATTTTGCCACACAAATCAGAGGTTTAGGTTCCTTAACAGGACCTCCTTCACGGTGATTAATTCTGAGAAAGTGCCTGCATTGAACTAGGCATAGTCTCTTGGATAAGGCATTTGCGTTGTTATACATGCGTGTCGCATGGTTTTCCATTCTAATAGGTGGTATATTTCAATGGGAAACTAACCGGAAACACATATGTGTGACATTAAATATAAATACAAACAATATATAACAAAACACATGTAACTGGTATAAAATATATTATTTCTGTCAAAAGTTATGCCCACCCAAAAAAACGCGGTCGATTTCAAACATCGTCCAGTTTCATAATAGCGGTCGTGAACGTGTTAAATGATATTACGTTAAAGAGGGTGGCAAATTGTAATCATTTGTAAGCTTCTCAAAATTTAAAATTAGTTTCTTTTCGACCATTCGAGAATATTATAACAATAATGGAAAAGTTGTCAGTTTTAGTGAACGTGGAAAACCAGTGTTAGTAGTGAATTCTGTGTTCACAAAACACAAAGTGTTAACCAGTGGGGAAATATGTTGGCGGTGTACAGATCGTTCTTTTAAGGCGAAAGTTTATACTGTAGGCCCAGAAAATCTAATTACACGTAGTGAAATAGAACACACTCATGAAAAAAATGGTAAAAAGTTAAACAGACAGATAATGAGTGTAATTACCCGGGAAATATAGACCCGTAATTTACAAGGACTTAAAAATACCCAATCAGTAAATTTAAATGTAATCAAATAATGTAAATTGAATTAAATAATCTAATGTAAATTAAATCTCCAATCTTGAAAGAAAAGTTCTACTTTTCTAAATTTGGCATTGATACAAATTATTTAAAATAGTTAAAATTTTTCCATGTTCAAATTGAAATAATAGATAAAATGGCGACAGCGCGAGGTTCTTGCACCTGCAGGAAAATTCATAAAAATATTATAAGCAAGGAGAAAGCAATCAAATTGGTGAGTAGTGACACATTTCATATTAAAAAATATACTTATATTATTTACGGCCGACACGAGTTCGGCATCTTTTGATATATTTGTCCTCACATTCTTATACCATATCTGTTGACCCCGATAATCCAGGAAATTGCGACATATTCGGTTTTAAACAAATAATTATAATTCTTAGAAAAGAGGAACGGAAGGTTGATGAATGGACATGAACCGAAATTTTCGGGGAGATCGAAAAATATAAAAACGGCGGTTTCGGAATTTTGGAATCAGTTCAGCTTAGAGTCTTGAGTCTACAGTAATCAAGCAGTCGCAATCAATTAGCCCAGAGTTGAGAATAATGAGTCAGTCCGGATAAAATTCACGAGAGTTTCGTTTATCTTGTTGCCTCGGAAAAACGCCCTAAATCGAATCTTTTGAAAAAAGTAATGAATTCGTAAAGAAATAACATTAAAATTCGTTCAACATTATGTGCGAGCTCAAAATAATCAGAAGAATTATTTCAGAACAGTTCAGTGGAAATTAAGGTAAATAATGTAAGTACTGTAGTGACATATTTATTTGACTTTATCAATGATTGAAATTACTATGACGTAAGTTGATTGGAAATGGGACTTTGCAAATATGTTATTAACTTGAGAGAACTTTTGAATATTTTCTGCTTAGTATAAATAGAAAATTTTAATGACTGTTGAATATTGTGAGATCTGTCTAATGAAGATAATTAAAGTGTGATGAAAATTGAAATAACGATTAGTTAAATATTTTTTTCTCTAACTGATTAAAAGAATTTAAATTAAATGCGTAATGCTAATTTGAAATAGTATTGTTCTATCCGAATTTTGGATTTTGGGAGAAAGTTTATTCATTACAAGTACCTATAGAAAAGATTTATTATTTAATTAACATGTCTAATGTTTTAAGATGATATTCACTCTGGCAAAGTTTACGATTTTTGAGTAAAAGTTTTGTAAAAATTTGGCAGTAAGCGAATTCAGGGGCTTTATACGTTTATAGAACTGGAAGTTTGATTAATTAAACTATGTGATGACTAATGATTATTGTTTCGACGTGTAAATGAAATTTATTCAAAGATATTGTAACCTGATGTAGTAGGGCTCTATAAAAGAGTTACTCATGTTTCCAATTGTTAGGAAAAATACAAGGCTTTGAAAATGACATATTATTACAGCTCAGAGGTAGTATGGAGGTGGCTGTAAAGTTAGAATCATTTTAGAATTTGTTTTTCTTTGTATTAGAAAGGTGTTGGTTAGGGTATAAAATCAAGGAACCATTGTAATTTGAATAAAGGCTCTGTTATTTTCTCGAATAAAGTATATTTTTTTAATGGAAAACCGTACTACAGTTGTTTCTCTCACTTACAAATAGACCCTCCACAATTTTATTTTGAGGTAGCTGCCCAAGGAAATAATTACCATCAAATACGACCGTTCACAATTTACCATCCAACCCAATTAATAGAGTGCTCAGCGCGGACGCTACATAAGTGCTCGTGTTAAACGTAGAGCAGTCGAAAACATATGTGAGAAACCTTATAAAATAATTCATTCGTCTTTAAAACAACACATCCGCGAATCGAACACTATTACAATGGAAGACATCCATAATATTCGCAACATTAATTATAATAGCAGACGGAAAACTCGACCACCTTTACCAAAAAATAGAGCTGATGTAATTGATGTTCTAAGAACTATGACTATTAGAACAATAAAAGATGAAAATTTTGTGTTCATTATTGACGATGTTGAAGAAGCTGAACAAACAATAACGCTTTTATTGAACAAACTGACTTTATGAAAAATTTAATTTAAACTGACTTCAAACTGACAACTACCTGCTAGTTATATGCCTCATCGTACTGTGGATTTATCTAGAACAATTTGTCGTTTCGAATATTATAGAATTTCCAGAATAGATCTAGACGTGAACAACTGGATTCTTAGAGTCTGGTCAGGCTCTCGATGCACTTTAGTAACAATAATTTGACCACTCATTATTTGACAGGTCCTAAATAATTAATACTAATTCAATCAATCTACGATCTTATATTTTACAGCTTCATTTGGTATACATTTCAATTTTCATCCTAAATTATTATTGATTTATTAGGCAATTAATCAGCTTATCTTGAAATAATGTATAAGTATCAACTAATTTGAAGTGTCCGTATGTCAACAGGTACAATGGTCACTTCATTTTTGTCAGATAAAATCGTTATCGGTAATTTTGATAATTTTTGCGAATTGCAAAAGATTTTGAAAATAGATGATTTGATTAGGATAGATTATGGTATCAATGCAAAAATGGAGAAAAGTGAAAATATTTTGCATCGATTTTTTTCGGCTGAAATAGTTCGCTTCTCGAATATCGCATAGCTCATCAACCTTGATGTAAAAATAAATCCTGTAATATATTGCCCCTGTCTACTGTAATTGTAACTTTCAGTTAGAGCTGCAATTTTGAAACATGCAAAAAAAAAGTGTTCTACAATATACCTTATATGCCGAAAAATAACTTCCTCTCTGCAACCGGTCATTTGGGCTTGTCTCAGATCGCTTACTATCCTTTTTTTGCGCAACAGATGAATTAGGCATCTGATCTAATATATCCACCAGTTAACGCAGAATATATTTTTTTTTCTAAACTCGCTCATACTTCAGTACTTTGTTTAGTTAGTATTTCTGGTTATTTGTTGTAGATATATTGTTTTTGCCACTAAAATATACAATAGATCAGCACAAAATATCTTTATTAAAGAGATAGGTACATATTTAGCATATTATACATATACCCTCCATTTTTACTAGTTAGATTTATTAACATCGTTTTTCGCAGCATCTACAGTTAAACTAAACAATTTTCTACACATAAGTTTATACTGAACTAACATTTTATTTTTAATTTTAGCAGGTATTACCAATAAAGTCGTTATGGAATTTCCTGTAAAAAACATCAACATTAGTAAACAAGTAGCCAAAATATGCCAACTAGATTCTGGATGGTGCATGTACATTTTATACAAGGTGTAAGCATTTACTAACTGGTAAATGTATGCCGCAAATAAAAATGGATATAAAAATGCTAAGCCGCGCCACATCCAATATTGGAAACCTTCTATAGTAATGTCCATGGGGTTTTTTTGACCCAATGCTTTGAGTCTATACAAAGTACCTCTTTGATAGTTAAATTGTAAGTATTGTACTAAACAGTGGTATAAGTTATATCGAAAAAATTGTCCTCTAAAATCGTCCCAAGCACTATTTTCCGGCCAAACTAGTAAGACAATCGATGTCAGCACCGATAGTCCATGATGTATTCTCCACCAAAGCTTAATTTTCGATCCATTAGCCCTAAGAACAGCTTCTCGGATTGTCAAAGTGCAATAATACCAAACCAAAAAAAACAAATATATTTTTTGGAAAAATCTTGAAGCAAAAAACATATTCAAAATCACTAAGACTGCTGCAATAGTAATACACACTAATTTAAACTTTTCATATTCCTCTTTATATTTGAATTTTGCTTCTTCACTTAAAAAACCAACGTTAATGTTGCCTAAAATCACTTTGAGATACAATCCTCCTTGTCTGGGTAAAGTTTCTTCTATAAGCTGCAGCTGTGCTTCTCTTTTTATACATTCTTTGATATCTATATTTGAAGATTTAGTAAAGGCTTTGAGTCTATACCTTTGATGTGTAATTTGCGTCGAACAAAAATTTTGTTTATTGGTCAGCTCTTTAAGTTTCTTTAAATAAACCTGATGTTCTTCTTCGAGTTTCCTGTAGTCTTCGTTTACTTCGCCCCATTGCACTTCGATGTTGTCAACCATGATGCAGAATATAAAGTTCACTTCACTAATGTAATCAAAACAAGTACTTATGTGTTTATAAACTCTTCTAATATCTAATCCAATTTATTACCTAGTTTTATCATTTGTAAAGGTAAAAGTGCGGGCTTAAAATAAATAATCATAAACAATTGAAAACGTTATTTGGACTATAAGATAAGATAAATAGGTATTATTGGAAGTCTATTATAACGCACTTTATACTTTATAATTATTGTAACTCATGAATATTTCTGTTAGAATGGTTTAAAAGCTAATGGTCGCTCAGAAATCAACCGTTTAAATTTTACAGTCTGTCAAGATTGCGACAAAGTCTTTTTTCAACTGTCAATAAATCCGAAATAGTTGAAGATAGGTATATTTCCCGCAGAACCCAGAAATGTCATACCGTATACAGATCGATCTATTTAAAAAAACAGAGTTTCTTATATTTACCAAAAAACGAAAGATCTGACAACCATGTTAAAACTACCATATTATCGGCCATACTACAATACTCTCTCAAACCAAAATTAATAAAGCAAGCCGTTTTCGAGATAAATGAGACGTTCCATACTTAAAACTCACTCTGTACTATATATATGTTACCGGAAAAGTCCGCTATGCAGCCATACCTAGGTTTGCCTAGGCAAAGTCCGTATTGCCGAGCCACTTTAGGCAAAGTACGAAATCATTCGATATTTCGGACATTGTAGATATGAGTGGCGCGGGTGAAATGAAAGCGAGATTTTTGGAGAAATTAGAGATTATGCAGAAACCAATAAATTCTTTTTACATTCCATCGATAGACAAGTACGAGGCATTGATTAAAGAAGTTGAAGAAGCCAAGCAAGTAGCTAAAAAACAACTCTTCAATACCGACGTCTTAAACGTTACGATGTGTCACTTGTTGGGGGCATTAAAAAGTTAATTTTGCCCTTGTCTGCGCAAGTCACTAATGTGAAATACTTTGTCCCCAATGAAGAATCGTTTGAGGTGCTAGATAATGCTCACAAGGAATGTGGTCATCCTGGAAGAGATATTATGATTAAAGCACTAAGCAACAAATATGGTAACGTAACTCGAGAATGCATTACACTTTACTTAGGGCTATGTGAAGCCTGTCACAAGAAGAAAAAGCATCCAAAAAAAAGGAATAACCGTAAAACCTTTGCTATTCCGAGAAGTGAATTCGAGAGGACAAGTCGATCTTATCGATATACAGACTTGCCCTGATGGTGATTTCAAATATATCCTCAATTACCAGGATCATCTATCGAAATATCTAGTTTTGCGGCCACTAGAAACGAAAAGAGCAGAAGAGGTCGCTTATTGTTTGATAGACATTTTTTGCATTCTGATAGCTCCTTCTGTGTTGCAGTCCGATAACGGAGGTGAATTTGCAAATCGCATTGTTGAAGAGCTGACATTGTTAATAAATAATCGATTTCGTTATTTTCAGGAAGAAAAGCTCATATTGGCATTCAGACTTTACTGAAGAGTACTTAAAACTGAAGAGGAATTAGAAGAAGCGCTTGCTTCTGTTGATTCCAATAGGAGTGGAGCAATGAATAATCTTGAGCAGGAAAAATCCGATTCTGAAAATGACAATTCAAAACCACTGTCAAGATCTACACAAAACTTATATGTTATTTGCTCTACGGAAACTTCAGGTCCTCACAAGTGCAGAAACTGTGGTGAAATTGTTCACCCTGCAAAGGAGATACTAAGAGTTGTCATGGAAAAAATTGCAGATGGTTTTTATAAAATCGGTACGAAACATGGTGTAATCAATTCTCTATATGCAAGAAACCAAATCCAAAGTTGCAAGGAACAATTTTTTAAAATCGAAGACGTCCCGAAAATAGAACTATCACTTCGCGAAATTAGTGGGCACAGTTCTTCATTTGGAGGGCAAGGGTTTCAAAGATGTACCAAAAAATGCACCACTAACTCTTGTAAATGTAAAAGATTGAAATTATTATGCAATTCCAAGTGTCACCATTCGAAATCTTGTACTAATAAGTGAAATAATTAACCCTAAATGTATTTTATAATCGTCCCTGTGTATTATGTATTCTGTAAAAAGTGTATCATGCAGGAGCCCTAATTCTACCCAAACAACCTTTGCCCAAAGAGACCTTTCTGATTCTACCTCAATATCTTTTTCGTTGGTTTTTTGAATGTGTTTTTTTTTTGTTGGCGAATGCCTATTTCTTTAATTAGTGTCATAATAAAGAATACCAAGTGTATTTTAGAAGGGTCCACTCTGATTATACCTTAATATGCTTTGAGTTGTTTTTTTTTTTTAATATGAAAGTTTATTTTATCTGTGATTGTTATTAATTTGCGTTTTTTTCTATCGCAAACTGTGCCTCATACTCATACATAGGTATAATATTGACAGTATAATATTAATTCGGCAAGTTATCTCGGAGTTTGCCTGCTACATTTTTGGTAAACGGTAAACCTAAGATTGTCTCACAAAATTGTAGGCAATGTCGGAAATATCGACTAATTTCCGACTTTACCTAAAGTGGCCCGGCAATGCGGACTTTGCCTAGACAAACCTAGGTATGACTGTATCACGGGCTTTGCCGGTAACATATACATAGGTATAAGTTTTACCTCACACAAAGATAAGCTGCCTTAAATTGGACCATTACAAGTAAATCAAGAGATAGAAATTCCGGAAACTGAAAGAATTAAATATCTAAGTATTATCTTTAATCAAAATCTAGAATGGAATCTACATGTTAAACACGTTACCCAAAAAATTATTAGATCTTTGATATCAAAATTTGAATACTTGAAAAACTATTTGGACATAAAACACCTTATTGTTATACATACATTAATTAACTATGGAATAACAGGATGGGGAGGAGCAAGATATTGGCATATTCGAAGCTAAACATAGTGCAAAAATGGCTAATTAAAGTTGTAGTATAACATACCCGGATTCGTTCAGCAAGATTGAACGGTTGAATTTTTATAACCGTTTAAACAACAAATCTTCTGACAAACGAAATTGAAAACAAATAGGACCTACGTTGTGGAAACTTACTCAATTTTACTTACTGGACATGCACCCGACATAGCAAATATTAGGGAAATTTAAGGGAGGTTGTGATATGTAAAAGAAACGAAAAATTTGTGAAACGTCTACTTTATTATTGGAGTAAATCGTACCGTACTCGACCTGGAATTCTCCAGGGAATAGAGAACGGCAGGTACTGAAGTCCCATACGGGAAGCTACTCAGCTATAGTGGTTTTTGAGCCAATATCTCTAGATTGATTATTTCAATTTGTTTGCTAGGATATTCGCTCGTCAGGGTGGGAAAATGTGGGTAAATTCAACAAGGCCCTAATAGACGCTTTGAATCCAAAAATTAAAATCACAGCACAAATTACAGTACATAATTTTTTCTAGGTTTTAATCAACTCTTTATGTGTGTTGTTTACAGCATGAAACGATTTTTGTTAAATACATGAAGAATGCACATGTTATAAAAAATGTTATAAACAAACAAAAAAAAATAAAAATGGAAAAATAATACTTGTATAATTGAACTCTCAAAAACAAAATACAATTTATCAACTGACCTGTGAATGATCTTTTATGATACACAAACTAATCACAAATTGGATTGAACAATCAGTTTAATACAAAATAAAAATAAAAATTGAACAATGACAGACAAGCGTCTTCTCTTCAGTCTAGTCGCTTATTCTCTTATATCCTCTTCGGTTTTGGTACTTTCGTTTTCTCTGGCGCGCCCCCATTCAACCCTAAACTTGACGACGCATACATGGTTGCAACATTTACCTTTTTTTCTATAGTAGACTATTTTTTAAAAAGTTAAGACTCAAAGAAATAATAGTTTAAATAGGTGGTTTTCCTCAAAGTCATATTTGAGAAAAACAAAATTTTTCCTACAGATTCTTATTCAAAGAATCAAAACTTTTTGATATTAGACGACTACACATTTTCAATCTACATCATATTAATATGTATACACAAAAATGAAATATGTCTCACCTACTCTCATATATACGCTACAAGAAATCGGGTAAATCGAGTACAAGTAGGTACCAAGAAAACAAAAGAATATTGGACAAAGATATTTTGAATATATAGCGCTAGAAGCATTTAATCTACTACCAAAAACTGTACAAAATTTAGTCGATGACAAAACATTTAAAAGTAAAGTTAAAACCCAAGTAGCAGACTGATGTCATTTTGACGAGATTTATTGGTGATTTTAGACGTTAGACGTCATTTGACCAATTACTGACGTGATTCGTGACGTCATTTTTAGACGTATGTTAATATGTTAAACGTCATAGAGATCACGTCATTTTTCCGTCTGGTTTAACTTCAAAAAAGTGAATGTTTTTTGTTGAAAACATGATATTTTCTATTAAAGTTAATTTATATTTAAAATCTACCACACACCTATACTCTTAGTGAAATTTTTATCTAAAAGTAATTTTCACGAAATTTTTTCGTGATAATCGAACTTGATCGGGCCACAATGGATGGCGCAGGCGGAATGCGCCTGCGCTGCGCTATCGCGTCGCGTCATAAAGCGAAGCAAAGCGGGAGGACGGTCGACTCTCTGGGAATTGGTTCGGGCGGTTGGCAGTTCGGCTTCGTTGTTTGTTTACGTTCGTTCACACATTGCACAGTGCTTCTAGGGCGAGTATTATAAAACTATTTCGGCAAATAGCTAAAGTTCACCTTTAAAATTTTATAGTTATTCCAGGAGTTAAATTTTAGTTTTTTGTCGAAATAGTTCTAGGTATAATACCCGCGCTAATAAGTAGCATGAGATGAGCCTATGTATCAAAAAAATGGGGGCATGGTGATTTTATTTTATCGTAAAATAATATTTTCGCTTGTATTTATAATGAGGAAGACCACCTATTTAAAATATTATTTCTTTGAATCTTCACTTTCCAAGTAAATGTTGCAACCATGTATGCGCCGTCAAGTTTGGGTTTGAACGGGGCGCGCCACAGAAAACGAAAGTACCGAAGCGAAGGGTAAGTA